CCATCATCCATTCATCCATTCATCCATCATCCATTCATCCACCTTCCATCCATTCACCATCTATCCATCCATCATCCATCTGTATATCCATCCATGTATTCATCCACCCATCCACCCATCTATCCATCCATCCACCACCCATCCATCCATCCATTCATCCATCCATCATCTATCCATCCATCCACCACCCATTCATCCATCATCCATCCATCCATCATCCATCCATCCATCATCCATCCGTGGACAGCTTGGATGATCTCACCCACTTGGCTCTCATCCTCAGGGAGGATTCTGAAGCTGAGTTGTCTGGCCCCAGATGAAAACTGACCATCATGGAGTGTGTGGGGCCAGAGAACCCAAAGCCTGGGCCCAGACCAGAGACCATGGCGGCTCACACCGTGGGGCACGGTAGGCAAGGTCCGGCTGGAGATGGAGCCCCGGGAACTTGCCAGCTGCCTGGAGGTGGGGTTGCGGAGGAGGGTGAGCCCAGGGCTGGCCCAGCCAGCGGGGCACTGGGGGTTTGCCTTTTACCATCTGAGAAGGGGCCAGGAGCTCACTCATTCGTGTTGACTACTGTTGTTTAGTCACTCAGTCCTGGCCGACTCTCTGCAATCCCGAGGACTGTAGCCCCATCAGGCTCCTCCGTCCATGGGATTCTCCAGCCAAGAAGACTGGAGTGGGTTGCCATGCCCTCCTCCAGGGCATCTTCCCCACCCAGGAATCGAGCCCACATCTCTTGCATTGCAGGCGGATTCTTTACCACGGAGCCTCCAGGGAAGCCCCAAGTTCAGCATGAGCTGCTGCTTTCCCTGAGATGTGAACAGGCTTTGTTTTTGTGGAAAGAAGCGGAAAAGGCTTACAAAGAACACACAGGTTCAGGGTCTCTAGGCGTCCAGCCAGTGGCATTGAAGTAAAAATGGAAAACGCAGTGGCTGGGAACAGCTGTGGCGGCCTGCTTGCCTCTGAGGCCAGCCCCGGGGCCCCGCCCGGAATTCCAAAGCTCTTGCTTTCACGAGGCCAGGGCACATGCTGAAAGCCGGTGCCTATTAATAGGGGCCGGGCTGTGAGCCAAGATGCCCACCTGGTGAAAACCTCCCGCCTGGCGTTGCCAAGAGCCAGGACAGTAGCCGGGAGGGACAGGGCCAGAGCGACTGGGCCTGAACCCCCAGCAGGACTGAGAATCCCTGCTTTCCATGCCTCTGTGGGTGGCGGGGCACACCGCATTAAAAAGAATAAGTTGATTAATTTATGTATACTTTGATTCTTTTTTATTGAAGCGTGGGTGATTTGGGCTTCCCAGGTGGCACCAGTGGTAAAGAACGCGCCTGTCAGTGCAGGAGACAAAGGGACTCTGTCCGGCCCCTGGGTCGTGAAGGTCCCCCGGAAGAGGGCATGGCGACCCACCCCAGCCTCCTTGCCTGGAGAACGCCATGGACAGAGGAGCCTGGTGGGCTACAGTCCACGGGGTCGCAGAGGGCCGGACACTACCGACTGACTTTCACTTCTCCACCCCGCGTGTGGAACATGGCCTCTATCCTCTGCGCTCCTCAGCCTACCTCTGTTGCTTACGTGCTTTGCACACAGTCGCGTGTATTTGCTGCGCCCCGCTCCCTAAACGGACGCCTCTCCAGTCTCCTCTCCCCACTGGGGACCACCAGTTTCTCCCTTACATCCGTGAGTCTCCTGTCTGTTGTGTTTCTTCGTTTCCTCTCCTTCTGTTTTGACATATTTGTTCGTTTCTTTTATTTTTTTAATTCCACACGTAAGTGGTAATGTGCAGCATCTATCTGACTTATTTCACTCGGCGGCGCGGCCCATCCATGTGTCCCTCGCCTTTTAAAGGGACGCAGAGCGGCTGAGCGCGGGCTCATCACCCTCCGCCGTGACCCCGCAGCACCGCACACCCTCCGGCCCCGAGCCCGGGGCGGCGGGCCAGCGCTGACCTCACCCCCGAGGACTGCGGAGCCCTCCGCGGGACGGAGGAAATGGATCCACACCCGCGGAGGGGGTAACATAGCCTCCCTCGTCCTCCGGGTCTGGCTCACTGGGAACATGCAGGCGCCCCTGGGCCGGGCCTGGGGCAGGGGACGGGTGTGACCCCGGAGCGGGCGCCCGGGGCGCCCTGGGCCCGGCTCTCCCTCTGAGTGGCGGTAAGGAAACAGGATCTCTGCATCTGAGACCTCGGGGCCGCGCCCCCGGCCCGCAGCTGTCGCGGGAGCAGTGTTTGTGCGGTTGCCGGGAGACACGGGCTAGAAATAGGAGGTCAGCAGGGGCTGGAGCTGGGCGTGCCGCGGCCGGCCAGGGCCCGGCGCTGTCAACAGTGACAGCCGGGGCTGGCATCTCGGTGGGCACGCGCGCTTGTGGGGGAGATGGCGCCTCAGAATAGCCTTCCCGGGGGGTTGCGATGTGCCCACACGCAGCGCAGGCAACCCTGAAGACCCCAGACGAGGAGGGGCCAAGTCAGAGAAGGAAAAAGCTTTCCCGGGAGGGCTAGCCGTCTGGGCGCCTGCTTAAGGGTTTCCCGCAGTTTCTTGAAGCTTCCATTAGCAGATGTTAGGTGATTAACGGCAGCTGCGCGAGGGCATCAACTGACGCATCATTCAAACGGAAAATTACGTTTTGCTGGTCTTAGGTTCTGTTTTCCCCATCTGTGTTGCGAGATGTGATCGGATATGATTCCTTTTTGTCGTACGTGCCTAATTTTGTACAAGCATGCCAGTTTTGAGGTTTGGTTTACTCTTTTGATACAGGACACCTGGGGTTCGATCCCTGGGCCGGGAGGATGCCCTGGAGAAGGAAATGGCACCCCACTCCAGTATTCTGGCCTGGAGAATCCCATGGACAGAGAAGCCTCTCCATAGGGCTGCAAAGAGTCAGACATGACTGAATGACTAATATTTACTTATTGACACTTTTTTGAGCTTATTACAGGTAGAAATAGCATTGGACTTTCCCTGGTGGCTGGCTGGTAAAGAATCCACCTGCAGTGCAGGAGACCCAGGTTCAATCCCTGGGTCAGGAAGGTCCTCTGGAGGAGGGCATGGCAACCCACTCCAGTATTCTTGCCTGGAGAATTGCATGGACAGAGGAACCTGGCGGGCTACAGTCCACGGGGTTGCAGAGAGTCAGACAGGACTGAGGGACTAAGCAAAAACAACAAATAACATTGGTACTTATTTTCCTATAACCTTGCCCATTAGGGAGAAAGGTGGGCTTTTTATAAGCATCTAATTGAAAGAAATTAAACTTCCCTTACTAAAGTAAAAAACAAAAACAAAACCCCAGTGTTACAAAGCATTTTCGCCTGCTTTACTTTCTGACCCTTAGCGGCCTTAGCGAACATCCGCACATCTTTGAATCTGACCCAGACTCTGTGGATGTGAACTTTGAGCCTGAGAGTGACAGGCCTTTCACTGAGATGAGACGGATGGCAGGGGAGTTTGTAGGAGAATGGATATGTGTATATATACGGCTGAGTCCCTTTGCTGTCTACCAGAAACCACCACAACATTGCTAATCGGCTATACCCCAATATGAAATGTTTTTGGTGTTAAAAACATAAAGCAAAAAAAAAAAAAAAAAAAGGTGGGGGGAGGAAGATGAGATTAGAGATGAAAGGAAGACAGCAATTATGTCTAATTATTTGGCAGTTCAGGACCTGGGCACCCCAGGTAGCCCTGCTTCGTCACTCAGTCGTGTCGGACTCTCTGCGACCCCGTGGACTGCAGCCCGCCAGGCTCCTCTGTGCATGGCATCATCCAGGCAAGAACACTGGAGTGGGTGGCCATGCCCTCCTCCAGAGGGTCTTCCCGGCCCAGGGATCGAACCCCGGTCTCCCGCGCTGCAGGCGGATTCTTTACCATCTGAGCCCCCAGCAAAGCCCCCAGGCAGCACTAGTTCATGCAAACTGAATGCCAAGCACTTAGTTTTTGCGGCATCTGAAGCATTTGATGGAAAGTGATTACACAAAGGAACTGAGGTTCATGACGCGGGCCAGCTCTTGACATTGTGCCTGTTTAATGGGCGCTGTTTATCGTGTGTTGGTAAAATATACGGAACGTAACACTTTCTGTTTTCACTGTTTCAAGAGCACAGCCCAGCAGCATCGACTATGTTCACACTGATGTACGACCCTCCCCACCGTCGTCTCTGGGACTTCTCACCTTCCCAGACACAGACTCCATGCCCCTGAAACGCGGACTCCCAGCCCCCGGACTCACCGTCTACCCTCTGTCTCTGTGAATCTGAGGATTCCAGGGACCTGCACAAGCGAGATCTCCGTGTCGATCATTAGGGGTCATTTTTTCAGTTACTGGAGAATCCCATGTACAGAGGAGCCTGGCGGGCTACAGCCCATGGGGTCGCAAAGAGTCGGACACGAGTGAGCAAACCCACCCACTGCAAGGAGCACTTTCTCAGATGTGGAGAAAAAGCCGCCCCCGACCCCCCAACCCAGAGTGGGTTCAGTGAGGTTTGAACAGACTCTGTTTCCAGGGGAACCTTCGTGAACCTGATCCCAGAGCCCAGTGGCTGCTTTAATGCCGAAAGCTGGAGGCGTTGTGAGGGGCTGTGGTTATTGAGCCGCTCAGTCGTGTCGCACTCTCTGCGACCCCGTGGGCTGCAGCACGCCAGGCCTCCCTGTCCTTTGCCATCTCCTGGAGCCTGCTCAGATTTATGTCCATGGGTGAGTTCCAAGACCGAATTCAGAACCACTTCCTGCCACATCTGAGCGTCCAATCGTATGGCCGGCAGGGAGGAGACGCACAGGATGAAGACGCAGAAGGCCCCCAAACGCCCCCCCAGCAGGGGATCCAGGGCTCCTGGTGGTCCCCGTGGCTGACGGGCCCCCGGGGGAGACCAGGGACACCCCACCGCCCAGGACCCCGCAGAGGTGGGGCCCGGTGCTGGCCCCCGTGACGCCCCGCCCGCAGCGGAGCTGAGCAAACACGGCAGTGCTGCCCGGGGCCGCGTTCCCGGCGGCCGGATGCCGTGGTCTCTCTCTAGTGGCCGCGGAGCGTCGGGCGGACGCGCGCTCTCCGTGGCGGACAAACATCGCCGCCGCCCGGCACAGAGGCCGCGTTGACGGAAGCCGCCGTCTGCCCCGCGGGGTCCGGCACCCTGGGCGCGCGTCCGCCGGCGTGTGCCGGCGCTAGTCCCACGGCCGCCTCCCGCCGACCTCCACACCCAGGACGGACGCCCAGGGCTTCCCAGAAGCCGGGACAGGCGTCTGCGGCCGCCGGGCTGGGCTGGGGGCCCTGCCCCGGGAGACAAGTGCAGGGGGGCGGGGAGCCCTGCCCGGGGCTCACGGGCGCGGGCCCCAGGGCCGGGGCAGGCGGGCGGCCTGGGTCCCGCGCTCGGCCCGCGCCCCTGCGGGGTCTGCTGTGTGGGCAGCAGAACTCGGGTCCTGCGTCCGCTGAGCGAGCGCCCTCAGGCTGGGCCCATCGTCTCCCTGACCCGCGGGGGGCTGGGGGCGCTGTGGAAGACGAGCGGAGGGGGTCCCTGCTTCCTTCAGAGGCTCGGGGTCGGGGGCGAGCCCTACCATCCTCCAGACCAAGACGGAAGGACGGTTTCTCTTGCCTTTTACACGCCGTGAGATGCTTGCCCCTGACGGCAAGAGCAGTCGGCACAGGCTCCCGGCAGAAAATTCCAGAAAACAGTAAAGAAGAGAAGAATTGAGACAGTAAAAAAAAAGAAAGGGCTTCCCTCGCGGCTCCGCTGGTGGAGAGTCCGCCTCCAAAGTGGGAGACCTGGCTTCGATCCCTGGGTCGGGAAGACCCCCTGGAGAAGGGACTAGCAGCTCACTCCAGCATATGTACAGACATGTTTATATATAGGGCTTCCCTCGCGGCTCCGCTGGTGGAGAGTCCGCCTCCAAAGTGGGAGACCTGGGTTCGATCCCTGGGTCGGGAAGGCCCCCTGGAGAAGGGACTAGCAGCTCACTCCAGCACATGTACAGACATGTTTATATATAGGGCTTCCCTCGCGGCTCCGCTGGTGGAGAATCCGCCTCCAAAGTGGGAGACCTGGGTTCGATCCCTGGGTCGGGAAGGCCCCCTGGAGAAGGGAATAGCAGCTCACTCCAGCATATGTACAGACATGTTTATACATAGGGCTTCCCTCGCGGCTCCGCTGGTGGAGAGTCCGCCTCCAAAGTGGGAGACCTGGGTTCGATCCCTGGGTCGGGAAGGCCCCCTGGAGAAGGGAATAGCAGCTCACTCCAGCATATGTACAGACATGTTTATACATAGGGCTTCCCTCGCGGCTCCGCTGGTGGAGAGTCCGCCTCCAAAGTGGGAGACCTGGGTTCGATCCCTGGGTCGGGAAGGCCCCCTGGAGACGGGACTAGCAGCTCCCTCCAGCACATGTACAGACATGTTTATATATAGGGCTTCCCTCGCGGCTCCGCTGGTGGAGAGTCCGCCTCTACGGTGGGAGACCTGGGTTCGATCCCTGGGTCGGGAAGGCCCCCTGCAGAAGGGACTAGCAGCTCACTCCAGCACATGTACAGACATGTTTATATATAGGGCTTCCCTCGCGGCTCCGCTGGTGGAGAGTCCGCCTCCAAAGTGGGAGACCTGGGTTCGATCCCTGGGTCGGGAAGGCCCCCTGGAGAAGGGCAGGGCTACCCACTCCAGTATTCTGGCCTGGAGAATCGCATGGACAGAGGAGCCTGGCGGGCTGCAGGCCATAGGGTCACAGAGTCAGACACGACTCAGCAACTGAACAAACAGCTCTTCTTATAAGCTGGGATCTCACCAGGGCGACAGCAGACGCTTTTACAGCCAGATTTTTTTTTTTTCCAGTTAAACTGTGTGATGAGCAGTCTCCGTGCCACAAAAACAACCTCAGAGAACGTTCTTTTCTTCTTCCAAGTGACGCAGCCGTTTCGCGGTGTGGCTCCTTCGCGGTTGATTCAGCCGTTTCCCTGCTGTGCAGGCGTTTCGCGTGTTTCCAGATTCAACAGGAGGCGCTGCCGGGGGAGGCCGGTGCCCACGCACGGGCCCTCGGGCGCAGCTCTGATTTATGGCTCTGCAGCGGAGCCTGGAAGGCAGGGAGGAGCTCCGTCCAGTCTTCCACACCGAGACGCTGAAGGCTGCGCCGTCGGCCTCATTGCAGCGCCAGCCTCTGCAGGGCTATTATCCCCCGGCCGCCCGCCAGCCCCACCGAGGAAAACGGCTTTGCAGGGGTTTCCAGCGGCCGCTGTCACGAAGGACCAGACTGGGGGCTTCGAACCACAGACATTCATCCTCCCCGAGTCCTGGAGACCGGACGTCTGAGGTCAAGGGGTCCCAGGGCTGAGCTCCGTCCAGAGGCTCCAGGGTAGGGTCCTCCCCTCCTCTTCCAGCTTCCGGGGGCTCCAGGCGTCCGTCCCTGGGCTGGTGGCCGCCTCCCTCCCGTCTCCGCCTCCGTCTCCACGTGGCTTCTCCTCTGTGTCTGTGTCTCTTCTGTGTCCTATGAGGACCCTGAGCCTGGGTTGAGGGCCACCTCCCATCCGGGAGGCCTTCATCTCAGACTCTTCACTCCATCACTTCTGCAGAGACCCCGTTTCTAGACAAACCCCGTTTGAAGCTCTTGAGGGGTCAGGATGTGGAAGTGTCTTCTGTTCAAGACACGATTAGCCTGTAAGGGGTTCCCTGGGGGCTCCGTGATAAAGAAGCCGTCTGCAGTGCAGACACATAAGAGATGCAGGTTTGAGCCCTGGATTGGAAAGATCCCTTGGAGGAGGGCATGGCAGCCCGCTCCAGTACTCCTGCCTGGAGAATCCCATGGACAGAAGATCCTGGCAGGCTACGCTCCAGGGGGCTGCAAGTGGTCAGACACGACCCAGTGAGTAATGCTTTCATTTTCCACAGAAACATCTCGGGGTTTGGGGGCACCTGAGGCAGCGCTGGGGCCACAGGATGTAGGCAGCTGCTGGCTCCGCAGGCCCCGGTGACAACGGGGATTTATCACCTGTGTGGCCTCAGAGCCACAGAAGCAAGAGGCTGCAAGTAGTTCTGGCGCTTGGAACGGAACCACAGAATTCTTCTCTTCTCTGCGCTACACCTCTCAGCCCTGCCCTGCGGAGTTTAGCTTAGGAGATGCCGGTTGATCATCCACTGTGGAGACTCAAAGTGCATGCATGCATGCTAAATCACTTCATTCGTGTTTGACTCTCTGCGACCCCATGGACTGTGGCCCGCCAGGCTTGTCTGTCCATGGGATTCTCCAGGCCAGAATACTGGAGTGGGTTGCCACTTCCTCCTCCAGGGGATCTTCCCGAACCAGGGATCGAAACTGGGTCTCCTGTATTGGCAGGTGGGTTCTTTACTGTCTGATCCTCCAGGGAAGCCCTGAAAGTGCATAGACAAACAAAATAAGATATAACTGCTGCTCGTGGGGCGTTCCTGGGAGGAAGTGGCCTTGTAGCGTGCGGAGAAGGGCACGGTGGGGGGGTGTGTCCTTGGGCTGGTCGCGGAGCTGACACCGTGAGCACCCAGGAGAAGCCAGCCACGGATGAGGAACAGCAATCCAAGGGTCAGCCTCTGCGAAGACTCTGAGCTCCTGGGAAGGAGCAAGGCAAGTTCTCAGAGCTGAAGGCAGTCAGGGTGGGCCAAAGTCCTGGCGAAGTATTCCTGGCGGCTAGAAGGTGTTTAGAGGCTAAACCCAGGAAGACTCCTGAGAGTCCCTTGGACTGCAGGGAGAGCCAACCACTCCATCCTAAAGGAAATCAACCGTGAATATTCAGTGGAAGGGCTGATGCTGAAGCTGAAACTCCAATACTTTGACCACTTGATGCGAAGAGCTGAATCATTGGAAAAGACCCTGATGCTGGGAAAGATTGAAGGCGGGAGGAGAAGGGGATGACAGAGGATGAGATGGTTGGGTAGCATCACTGACTCAATGGTCATGAAAGTGAAAGTCGCTCAGTCGTGTCCAACTCTCTGCGACCCCGTGGACTATAGAGCCCATGGAATTCTCCAGGCCAGAATACTGAAGTGAGTAGCCATTCCCTTCTCCAGGGGATCTTTCCAACCCAGGGATCGAACCCGGGTCTCCTGCAAGTGTGAGCAAGCTGCGGGAGTTGGTGATGGGCAGGGATCGTTGCAGAGGCAGGCTGAGCAAATGAACAAGAAAATCCGGGATCTGGGTGCCCATTCCCCATGTAGCCACACGATGGCGCCGTCACCCGCAGAAAAGCGGAGATGTGCCTAAGCTTCGGCATAGTTTTGGGGTGCGCACCCCTTTACCAAAGTATGTAAGATGTTTCTCTGCTGGCCAGCTGGAGCCATCCCCACCTTTCTGTGTTTAAGTGTCTGGCATTTCTTTCTTTCTTTCTTTTTTTGAAGTTCATTTTAAACTAGGCTTCCCTGCTGGCTCAGTGGTAAAGAACCCGCCTGCCAATGCAAGAGACATGGGTTTGATCACTGGATCGGAATAATCCACCAGAGAAGGAAATGGCAACCCACCCCAGTATTCTTGCCTGGAGAATCCCATGGACAGAGGAGCTGGCGGGCCACAGTCCAAAGGGTTGCAAACAGTTGAAAGGGGACTTATCGGCGAGCACTTATAAACTAGCATGAACGGTCTTCCAGCCGGACCCTGGATCCCAACTTGGTCCAGGTTACATCACAAATCAACTAAGCCAGGAGGGATGCTGGCAAGTTTGCAGGGTACTCCTAACAAACCCACCCCCTCAGCCGTCTCTCCGACTTCTGCCTGACTCTCTGGATTGAAGGGTCACCACACAGACCCGATGAAATCTGATTAAGAGACAGCTTCCAGTAATAACCCACATCCTTCCCAGCCAGCCAGTGATCCCAGCAGAGAAAACATCACACACCTCAGTGTGGAGCCACCCAGAAGGCGTTTGGTCAAGTTTCAGCTGCTTTCAGGCACGTGCAGGGCAGCCGGCGTGACCCTCACATCTACTCGGCCACATGCAGGCTTCGGACAGGGTCGGGCAGGTGTGTGGGGGTCCCAGCACTTGCCGGCACAAAGACAGTCCAGCTCAGCGTCAGCCGGTAACACCACTTTCCCTGCAGATTCACTGGGGGCTGCATGGTCAGCCTTTGAGGGTTCCCTTGAAGACTTTTTTTTCCTGCAGAAATCTCTAAAGAGCCAACAAGTGAGTGAAATGGCCTGCTGTCATCCTCTGTGGAGACTCACATTCTGAATGCTGTAGGGGTCTCCTGACGCCCAGGTGAACGGTCACTGGAGGGAAGCCTGGGAACAGGCTGCAGCGTGGGTGGACCCTGAACACACGATGCTCAGAGAGAAGCAGACACACAAGGACACACAGCGTGTGCCTCCACTGACAGGAAGCGTCCTGAACAGGAAATCCAGACACAGAAGAAGGAGATTTGTGGTCCCAGGGGCTGGGGGAGGAGAGTGGGTAGAGGGATGATGGATGGATGGGTGGATGGACGAATGGCTGGGTGGAAAGGTGATAGGTGGTTGGATGGATGGATGATTGATGGATGGATACTGATGGATGGATGGATGGAAAGATGGATTGATGGGTGGATGGGTTCATGGATGGATGGATGGATGCTTGATGGATAGATGATGAATGGATGGTTGGGTTCATGGATGGATGAAAGGATGGAAGGATGATCAATGGGTGGTTGGATGGATAGATTCATGGATGGATGGGTGGATAGATGGATGGATGAATTAATGACAGATGGATGATAAATGGATGGATGATGGATGGATGGATGGATGGATGGGTGATTGATGGAAGGATAGATGGGTGGATGGAAGGATGATGGATGGATGAATGATTGATGGATGGACGGATGGGTGGATGGGTGCATGGATGGATGGATGAATAAATGATTGATGGATGGATGATGAATGGATGATTGGGTTGATGGATGGATGAGCGGATGAAAAGATGATGGATGGGTGGTTGGATGGATATATGTATGGATGGATGGATGGATAAACAGCATGTGGCCCAGCCACGGTAGAATATGATGCATCCATGAAAAGGAGGGCAGCTCTGACAGAGGCTGCAGTGTGGATGGACCTTGAACACAGGATGTTCAGTGAGAGCAGCACACACAGGAGGAGACACAGTGTGTGGTTCCACTTGCAGGACCTGAACGCCGGCAGATGTGTGATTTTTAAAGCTTGGGGCTTCCCTGGTGGCTCAGTGGTAAAGAATCTGCCACAGGGTAGCAGATAGGCAGACACAACTCAGGGACTAAACCAGAAACTGCCAGTTGATCCCTTCCCCCACCTTAACCCCCGGTAACCATGGCTTTGTTTTATGTGCCTGTGATTTGATTTCAATTTTCTAAATAGGTTCACTTGTATATCATTTTTAAGGGAAGCAACTCGGGGGACATTTAGCACACTCACAGTGCTGTGAGACCACCACTTCTGTCGTCCAGAACATTCTCACTCCCCCAAGGAGACCCTGTCCCCATTAAAAGTCACTGTCCATCCTCTTCCTCCCATCCTCGGTCCCATTAACTCCCTTCCTGTCTCCGCGGATTTGCCTGTTGAGGCTGTTTCCTATAAATGGGCTCACACACTGTCTGTCCTCCTGTGTCTGCATCTCTCCCTGAGCTTCCTGGTTCAGCATCCATCCACCTTGTCTCCCGTGTCAGAGTTGCTCTCCTCTTCATGGCTGCGTAATATTCCACTGTGTGCAGGACCCCCCCTCCCCCATTCTGTGTATCCTTCTGCAGTCTTATTTATTGCTACTGGAAACAATTCCTCTGGAAGCACTTGGATGATTATCCTTGCACATGAGCATCCTTTTGAGTCAGTTTGACACATGGAGCAGTGGAAACGAGGGCAGGGGTCCAATGGAAGCAGAAACCCGAGTTGGAACTTGGTACAGGGCCATAGAGTGGTTAGCTGCCCACAGGAGTCCTTGCTCCTTCCTCCCATGGTGCTGGCCGTGTTTTCAGACTCCAGTATCAAGACTTAGGCTTTGTTTCCCAGACCCCCTACAGTCTTGCAGCTGGGAGGGTCTACGCCAGAGTGGGTGGGCTTGAACATCTACCATGTCACCTGCTTCCAAGGCAGGTCTGAACCTGGTCTGGCCTGTTCCTGCTCCAGCTCAAATGGACTCAACCAGGGAAGGCAGCCCAGCTCGGGCAGTCAGCATATCCAGACCACAACCCCACCGTCCACAAAGCTGGGCCGCAGCCTCCGGCTCCTCTGGGTCCCCGTGCGTTTCTTCAGCCTCGGAAGTGTAGGGGGAATCTTTGTGATGATGGCCGAGTGGACCCCAAGCAACACGAGATAGAAAGTGTGGGTGCCATTCCAGGGGAGACTGGTGTGGTCTCCCCTTCAATCGCCTGTGTGAAAACCTGCAGAATGTTCTCCAGGGGGCTGTGTCCCATCTTCACGCCCGATCAAACCCAGGTGGAGAGCCTGGATTTTCTCAGACGCGAGAAGCCAGGCGGATGGAGAGACTGAGCACGTGCCCAGCGGCCGTCTTGAGGTCCTGGGGGGACACTCTTTGGGAACGGGCTGGCCCGCCGTGTTTTGGGGCATTTGCTTCATCAGACAGAGAAGGCGAGGCTCTGAAAACGGGGGGAGGCAGGGCCGTGTGCATGGTGCGTGCTCAGTGACTCAGGCGTGTCTGAGTCTGCGACCCCGTGGATGGCAGCCCGCCAGGCTCCTTTGTCCATGGGATTCTCCAGGCAGGAATGCTGCAGTGGGTTGCCATTCGCTCCTCCAGGGGACCTTCCTGACCCAGGGATCAAACCCAGGTCTCCTGCGTTACAAGCGGGCTCTTTACCACTGAGGCACCTGGGAGGCCCCCAGACCCCACTGTGGTTCCCCGCCCCCCACCCCCGACCCTCCTTAGCACCAGGCTGATGGTCTGAGGTCAAAGTGCCGTGCTGTAAATCAGAGGTCAGGTTTGATCATGCTGTTTTCTGAAATAAGCTGGACGCCTCCGTGATGAGGGGTGGGATTTCAGATTTTTTTTTTTTTTTTTTTTTAAGGAAAACAAAGCGTGAGGCTGAGAGAGCAAAGGTGATCCTGGAAATCTTTGATAAATTTCTGAGTGAGACTCCCCCGGGGGCCCACTTTCTCAGGATCCGAGGTGAAGGGGAGGTTGAGGGTCTGCTACGTGGATACAAAAGGTCAGATTGATGTTAGATTTATCTTGTTTTGGGTGGGGAGGGAAACAGCGAGATGTGAGAAGACCTTTCTCTGGATGTAGTGTTTTCAAATGCATTAGAGACTTCTTTGTTGGCAGAAAGTGTTTCTCCCACTGCTTTAGAATCTTTGTGTCAGTTGCTAAGTTCAGCTCTGCGACCCCATGGACCGTAGCCCAGAAGGCCCCTCTGTCCCTGGGATTCTCCAGCAAGAGAGTACTGGAGTGGGTTGCTCTTCTCCAGGGGATCTTCCCCACCCAGGGATCAAACCCCCATCTCTTGCACCTTCTGCACTGCAAGTGGATTCTTTACTAGGGCCACCTGGGAAGCCCAGCTGGGATCAGAGAAATGTTTCATTATCGGGGTGGGGGGTGCTGATGATAGCAAATGTGAAGAGCATTCTACGGTTTAGAAAGCAATTTTAGAGCCCCATTAAAATGTTTGGCGTTGATGTAGCTTTCAGAAAAGTGCAGTAGCAGGAATTCCCTGGTGGTCCAGTGGTTAGGGGGCTCCCCAGTCGGTACTAGTAGCAAAGAACGTACCTACCAATGCAGGGGATGCAAGAGACATGGGTTCGATCCCTGGGTCAGGAAGATCCTGTGGAAGAGGAAATGGCCAGTGCAGTATCCTTGCCTGGAGAATCCCCTGGACAGAGGAGCCTGGCGGGCTACAGTCCATGGGGTCACCAAGAGTCAGACAAGACTGAGTGACTAACAGTTACATGGAATAGGGTCTCTGCAGATGTGATGGAGTGAAGGTCTGAGATGAGGCCCTCCTGGATGGGGGTGCCCCTAAACCCAGGGACAGGGTCCTCATAAGACACAGAAGAGGAGAGACAGGGACACAGAGGAGAAGCCACGTGGAGACGGAGGCGGAGACGGGAGCGAGGCGGCCACCAGCCCAGGGACCGACGCCTGGAGCCCCCGGAAGCTGGAAGAGGCGGGGAGGACCCTCCCCTGGAGATTCTGCAGGGAGCTCAGCCCTGGGAGCCCTTGACCACAGATGTCTGGTCCCCGGGACTCAGGGTGTGGGGGGTGGTGGATGTCTGTGGTTTGAAGCCCCAGGTTTCGTCTGTTACCACAGACGCTGGAAGTTCACGCAGGTTGCGACAGCCCTAGGTCCTCCCGGATGATGGACGCTCTTACTTCTCAGGTAGGAGAACCGCGCATGAAATGGAAGTCCCCCTCGCTGGCCTTAGCAGCAGGGCGAGCCAGAGCGGGGCGTCTCACCGCCCCCAGCACCCTTGCTGGTGGGAATCAGGGATGCTGGGGGTAGCCGGCCCCCGCGTCCCGGTGTGGCCGGCCCTTCCCCAAGCCCCTCGAGGGCCCACACTCCAGCCCAGCCGGGCCTCGCGCCGCCCCCGTGAGTGGGCCCCCTGCCCAGCCCCGCCTGCCAGTCAGCAGTACCTGCGGAGTTGCACCAGCAGGCCTTTGATGTAGCGCCTGACGCGCGGAGACGGAGGAGAATAACTTTAAAAATGTTAAGAAGCCTTAATTGGAGTTAACATAAAAGGAGATGCGGGGTGTTAATTGGTCTGTCTCGGGCGCGAGGCGGGGGCCCCGGAGACCCGTGTCCCTTACCCCCTGCCCAAGTGTCAGGGCTGGCATCTTTAATTCAACACGCTTTGTGTTAATTACCTCCGGATAAGGTAGGCTTTGATTGGGAGCCCTTTGTGATGGAATCACGGTGCATCGCCCGGCCTTAAGATAAGTACATTACGGCCGAAGGAGGAGAAGGGGAGAGGCACCCTGTCCAGCTGTGAGTGGGGACGGGGTTTGGGGAAACGTTTCCTCGAGGCCTTTGTTGGGGTGTGGGGGGTGCTTCCTGACACCCCCCCCCCACCTCCATCGTGCTGGGCTGCGGGAGCCGTCTGCTCATGGCCGGGCTTTGGGGTCCTGCTCGAGATGAGGTGGGAATCCAGGGTGCTCAGAGGGAGCCGCCCCCCTGGGTCAGGGGCCAGAGGGTCCTCACAGTCCTCACAGTGCCATCTGCCAGGGGCGCCAACGAGGGAGCCAGACGGCTGACGCTGGGAGGGCGCGGACAGCAGGGGCGGGCGGGCTGTGGATTTGGTGACTGCGTGCCAGGGTCCCACTCTTGGCGACCCCATGGACTGTAGCCCGCCGGGCTCCTCTGTCCACGGGAGTCTCCAGGCGAAAATACTGGAGAGGGTTGCCATGCCCTCCTCCAGGGGATCTTCCCGACCCAGGGATCGAACCCATGTGGGCAAGTGGGTTCTTTACCACTAGCGACACCTGGGGAGCCCAAAGAGGTGCGCAGTTCACTGGGGAGCGTGGAGTCAAAACTGCCTCGGGGGGTAGGGATGACTGGGGCCAGGGAAAATGGAAGTGGTGACCCCCACTTAGACCCGGTAAATGCGTGTCTGACTGTCCCGGGGCTGATGGGAGAAGGCACCCCACCCAGTAACAGCCCACATCCTTCTTACACGACCGAGACTGCTTATAAGAGCGGTGGGTGCAACCATGTCCCCCAGAAAGATATGTCCACTTGGAACCTGGAGTGAGACTTTGTTTGGAAAAGAGATATGTCCATCTTACAACACCTGGAACCTCAGAAGGGCACCTTGTGAGGAAAGAGAATCTCTGCAGAGGTGATGGAGTGAAGGGTCTGAGATGAGGCCCCCCTGGACGGGGGTGGCCCTAAACCCAAGGACAGGGTCCTCATAAGACACAGAAGAGGAGAGACACAGATGCAGAGGAGAAGCCCCGTGGAGACGGAGGCGGGGACGGGAGGGAGGTGGCCACCAGCCCAGGGATGGCTGCCTGGAGCCCCAGAAGCTGGAAGAGGCGGGGAGGAGCCTCCCCTGGAGTCTCTGCAGGTAGCTCAGCCCTGGGTCACCTTGACCTCAGAAGTCTGGTCTCCAGGACTGGGGGAAGATGGGTGCCTGCGGTTTTAAGCCTCCTGGTTTGGGTCATTTTGTCATGGCTGCCTGAGGAGACCCATACACTGAGCACGGTTCTTGTTGAATAAATGCATTCAGACAGGGCAGGGCAGACGTGTTCCTACACGTTCCCATGTGTCTACACACATTCCTAGACACACATGTGTGGGCATTTGCCTCCCACTCATTGCTTTTCACAAATAAAAACATTGGCAGTCAATGGTCAACTTTTCCTTCTCACTAGACATTTTTTTAGGACATGCAGGTTCGACCCCTGGGTTGGGAAGATCCCCTGGAGGAGAGCATGGCAACCCACTCCAGTATCCTTCCCTGGAGAATCCCATGGACAGAGGGGCCTGGCAGGCGGGTTGCAGAGAGTCAGACATGACCGAGTGCACACACACACACATGCACACAGACATCTCTTTCTGCAGACTTGGGGCAGAGTGAACAGCCTTTCCCATGATGGGTCACCGCACAGGATACACAGCCCCCCCCCCCACCTCAGCCAAGCCTTCCTGGGGCTTCTGATTCCCCACGGCGTCGAGGGGGGGCATCTCAGCCTTTCTCAAACTCAATGTCTCCCTCACTTGGGCTGGCAAAGCAGATCTTGACTCGTGGGCACTCGACACATGGGTGATTCCAAAGGCATTTTCGGTGCGAGGACCACTAATGCACAAATACCAAGGCAGCTTCAATACGAAAGCTTGAAGAATATTTCTCCACCAAGCCTGACGTTGAGTCAGCATCGCTGGACACAGTAAGTGGGTGTGTTAGGTTTGAAGGTCAAGGGTTCATCACTTTTGGGGAATTCAATTGATCAACTTGTTGTGGTCATTTACTGATGTATCAGGATGCCCCACACGGACCTCCCTGGCGATCTGGTGGTTAAGAATGTGCCTGCTAATGCAGGGGACACGGGTTCGATCCCTGGCCCTTGAGGATCCCACATGCCGTGGGACGACTAAGCCCGTATGTCACAACTACTGAAGCCCGCACGCTCTAGAGCCCGTGCTCCACAGCGAGAGAGGGCACGGTCACGGGAAGCCTGGACATCGCAAAGACGAGCAGCCTCCACTTGCTGCGACTAGAGAGAGCCACATGCAATGCCGAAGACCCAAAAATAAATAAATACAAATTAAAAAGGGGCTTCCCCGGTGGCTCAGATGGTTAAGAACCTCCTTGCAATTCAGGAGGCCTGGATTCCATCCCTGGGTTGGGAAGACCCCCTGGAGAAGGAAATGGCAACCCACTCCAGTATTCTTGCCTGGAGAAGACCACAGACAGAGGAGCCTGGTGGGCTACAGTCCATGGGGTCGCAAAGAGTCGGACACGACTGAGCACTGAACACAAGGATGAGAAAAACCAAAAAAGAGAATGTTGCACGTGAGTAGTTTACATTTGTGCTTAAGCAACGTGACGAAAAATAAATCACCAGCTCTAAGGGGTCATGAGAAGCCCTGTCTTTAGAGGGTTTTTGCATCAATCAGTAGAAGGAACAGTTGATTATGTTGAAAATCTTGCTCAGGAAAAGTCTCAGACACCACCAGCACCACCACGGCCTGGGCTGCCTTCTTAGGGAGCTGGCACTTTTGGGGGGGGTTTCACTGCCTCATCCGTGCCCCTCACCTCATTTGTAGACCCCAGACCCCCCCCCCATTCTATGCCCATGTGATGAATACAAGGTCGTTTCTTCCCTGTCTGGATGTTCTCAGAGTTTGCAGGGCCCCCTGCAGCACTTGCATTGGGTCTGAACGAACCGGGCCCAGCTCTGCCAGCTGGGCGTGCCGTCTTGCTTTGGACTTAGGTCAGCACACACATATCCTGTGTGGGAATCCAAATTCCGATTTCCCTTGACTTGCCAAAGTTGGAGGCTAGTGATAAAGAACCCTCCTGCTAAAGCAGGAGAGATAACAAGTGCAGGTTCGATCCCTGGGTCAGGAAGATCCCCTGGAGGAGGAAACGACAACCCACTCCAGTGTTCTTGCCTGGAGAATCCCATGGACTGAGGAGCCTGGCGGGATATAGTCCATGGGGTTGCAAAGAGTTGGACACGACTGAATGATGAACACTTAACACTTTCAGCCCATAGCAGGGCCATAGAGTCTTCACGCCCTGACTCAGGACCCAAGAGTTAAAATGACAGTGTCAGCCCCTCGGGGGGAGAGCACAGGCCCCATTTCTGTACAAGGGGATCACAGCCTTGGTCCAACGGGGCTGCTGGAGCCGCGGGATCTGACCGGCCGACAGGGATGTGGCCTAGGTGACCGTGGATGCCGGGGAGACTGGAGACGGTACCGCCCACCCAACTTGAGCTGTGAGGTCCGGAGGGAGGTGGTCAGGGCATCTTGGGGAGACGGGGGGCAGGTTACCCGTGGGAGGGAGCCTCCTGGGCCCAGCCCTTCTTGGAGCCGGGCAGAGTGGCCTTCTGGGTGTGCACACCTGTGTGTTCATAAGGGTCGGGAGCGGGGGTCCCCAGGCTGCCTGATTCCCGCCTGGACCAGCGTGGTGTCTGGTTGAGGGGGGCCGGCTCGGTGCCTCAGAGCTTGGGCAGCTCCAGAGGGTCCCCGGGTGGGCACCGCAGCTCCCGAGGGTCCCCGGGTGGGCACCAGCATGAGGCCCATTAGCACTTGGCCCCGGCTCGCTGCTGCTAATTACCGCTGATTAGTATTCCCCGGCGAGAGCTGTCTGGTCTGAGCTCCGGGCGTGCTGGCCAGGCTGCGGCCGCTTGATAAGGGGAGACGTGGAGAGCAGGGTGCAGCTAATTAGGCCTGGACGTCAGTCTCGATCGCAGGTGCTGGGCCGGCTGGCTTCACACGCACACGGTCGGTGCCCCCGAGCTGGCCGGTGCCCTGGTTTGCCCACGGCCTCCGCAGTGCCCCAGATCCCAGCCGCACCACGCAGGGCACAGACTGGCTGCGTGCCCGTCGCCCCCAAGGGCAGGTCAGGAGTCTGCACAGATGTCAGCTGGGACCTTGACCTGGGACCCGGGACTTGGTTGTCGTCGTCCCCGGAGAGACACACGGGTAGACGCAGAGATGATGTTCCGGGAAGAACCCACAGACCCTGGAGACGGGAGGCCCTGGGCGGCAGGGAGGAGGCGTTGCAGTGGGGACGGGGGAGGAGCCGGGAGGCAGGTAATGAAGCTGACTGGGGTGGGGCTGGCGGGACGGGCTACTTCTGCAGGCCACGGGGCACGGGCGTGCCTGAGTTGTCTGCATCTGTGCCTGGGCTGATGAGGGCTGGAGGGTGCAGGCTCCCAGGAGGGGCCCGCAGGATGCGTGCGCTGGGTGGGTCGTTTGTAATCAGGATTCCCTGGTGACTCAGAGGATAAAGGATCTGCCTGCCCATGCAAGAGACAGGGGTTCACTCCCCGGGCTGGGAAGATCCCCTGGAGAAGGCAATGGCCACCCACTCCAGTATGCTAGCCTGGAGAATCCCGTGGGCAGAAGAGCCTGGTGGGCTACAGTCCAAGGGATCGCAGATACTTGGACACGACTGACGGACTAACGCTTCACTCCCTGTGACAACGGGCCACAAAGCATGAGACTTGAAACCGCAGACATCCGTCCTCCCCCTGCCCCGGGACCACAAGTCTGAGTCAAGGTGACTCAGGGCTGGGCTCCCTGCAGAGTCTCCAGGGGAGGCTCCTTCCCGCCTCTTCCAGCTTCCGGGGGCTCCAGGTGTCCATCCCTGGGCTGGTGGCCGCCTCCCTCCCGTCTCCGCCTCTGTCTCCACGTGGTTTCTCCTCTGTGTCCGCGTCTCTATTCTGCGACGGAGAGAAAGATGGGGTAGAGTCCAGGAATGCACTCTTGGCACATTTGTTATTCAGCTGCTTGAAATTTCATTTCTTGTCCTCCGTCCAGGCAGCCTGGCCCAAGCATGAAGATGGCTCCGGGCCAGTAGCACCGCGTTGCTCTGGGTTTGATCCCTGGGTTGTGAAAGTCCCTCGGAGGAGGGCATGGCAGCCCACTCCAGTGTTGCTGCCTGGGGAGCCCCGTGGACAGAGGAGCCTGGCGGACTGCAGGGCATGGGGCTGCAAAGAGTTAGACGCTGCCGAGTGACTGGGCGGAGGTGCAGACATCCTAGCACACAGCCTGGCGGCTTTACACACCACCCCTCGTTACATCGCTCGAGTTGAGGCGGGCGCTGCTTCCAACAGCCGGGAGGGTCCCGCCCGCCGCTTCTGGGTCTCCGTCTCCTGAACTGATCTCACCGGGGCTCTGGTTTCTATGAGATTCTGACACCTTTCTCATTTCGCCTAGTCACTGTGTGTGTCCACTGTATGTGTATCTACACACGTACACACACGTCACACGTATATGATGGGATACATTATACACTGCGTTCTGTTACTGGTGGTGGTTTAATCTCTAAGTCACGTCTGACTCTTGCGACCCCATGCACTGTAGCCCTCCAAGCTCCTCTGTCCACGGGACTCTCCAGGCAAAAACACTGGAGCGGGTCGCCATGCCCTCCTCCAGGGGATCTTCCTGACCCAGGGATCGAACCCCGGTCTCCCACATTGCAGGCAGATTCTTTGCTGAGTGAGCAACCACAGACCTTATGATATATGCAAGCTGGTCTTACGTCTGTTACACTCTTGGGGGAAAGCCTAGAGTGGTGGGTATTGGACAAGACCACCCTTCCCTGATTTTCAGACGACAGTCTGCTGTTGACATTTAGTCACTCAGTTGTGACCGACTCTTTGCAATCCCATGGACTGTAACCCACCAAGCTCCTCTCTCCATGGGATTTCCCAGGCAAGAATACTGGAGTGGACAAAAATTGGGCAGAAGACCTATCTAGACATCTCTCCAAAGAAGACATACGTATGGCCAAGAGGCACATGAAAAGACGTTCAACATCACTGAATAGAGAAAGGCAAATCAAAACTACAATGAGATATCACCTCAGACCAGTCAGAATGGCCATCGTAAAAAAAATCTGTAAACAATAAACGCCGGAGAGGGTGTGGAGAGAAGGGACCCCTCCTACAGCGTTGGTGGGAATATAAATTGGTGCAGCCACTATGGAGAGCAGTATGGAGATGCCATAAAAAACTAAGCATAAAGCTATCATATGATTCCCACAGAGGTAATCCTGGGCATATATTTGAAGAAAAACATGATCTGAAAGGATACATGCTCCCCAACGTCCACTGCAGGGCTGTTCACAGCAGCCAAGATGTGGAAGCAACCTAGATGTCCGTGGACAGAGGGATGGATAAACAAGATGTGGCACGCACGCACACGCGCACACACACACACACACACACAGAGGAACGTTATTCAGCCATGGACAGAGGGATGGATAAACAAAATGTGGCACGCACGCACACGCACACACACACACACAGACGCACGCACACACACATGCACACGCGCGCACGCACACACGCACACGCACATGCACACACACACACACACAGGAACGTTATTCAGCCATGGACAGAGGAATGGATAAATAAGATGTGGCACGCGTGCATGCATGCACACGCACACACACACACACACGCGCGCACACACACAGGAGCATTATTCAGCCATGAAAAAGAATGAAACAATCCCATTTGCCAAAACATGGGTGGACCTACAGAGTGTCATACTGAGTAAAGTAAATCAGAGAAGGAGAAATATCACGTGACAGCCCCGATATGTGGAATCTAAAAGGATATGATACAAATGAACCTACAAAGCAGAAACAGACTCTTGGGCTTAGAAAATGATGGTTCCCAGAGTGGAAGGATAGGGGGAAGGGATAATCAGGGAGTCTGGGATGGACATGGACACATGGCTGTATTTAACATGGAGAACCAGCAAGGACCTGCTGTCCAGCCCAGGGAACTCTGCTCAATACTCTGTAATAACCTTACGGTCACCAGGGGGAAGGATGGGGGAGGGATAGTCAGGGAGTCTGGGATGGACATGGACACACGGCTGTGTTTAACATGGAGAACCAGCAAGGACCTGCTGGGCAGCACAGGGAAATCTGCTCAATACTCTGTGATAACCTGATGGTCCCCAGGGGGAAGGATGGGGGAAGGGACAGTCAGGGAGTCTGGGGTGGACATGGACACGCTGCTGTGTTTAACATGGAGAACCAGCAAGGACCTGCTGGACAGCCCAGGGAACTCTGCTCAGTACTCTGTGATAACCTGATGGTCCCCAGGGGGAAGGATGGGGGAAGGGATGGTCAGGGAGTCTGGGATGGACATGGACACGCTGCTGTGTTTACCATGGAGAACCAGCAAGGACCTGCTGGACGGCACAGGGAAGTCTGCTCAATGTCACGAGGCAGCCTGGGTGGGAGGGGAGCTTGGGGGAGAAAGGATACGTGTGCATGTATGGCTGAGTCCCCCTGCTGTCCGCCTGAAACCATCACATCATTAATTGGCTAATTGGCTTAACTGGTTAATTGGCTACTGAATTGCACACTGAAGTGGGTGACCATTCCCTTCTCCAGAGGACCTTCCTGACACAGGGATTGAACCCCCATCTCCTGCATTGGCGGGCCCGTTCTTTACTGCTGAATCACCAGGGGAATCCTGAGGTCAGTGTAAAGCCACACTGAAGCGCTCAGGTCCGTTCTCAAACCCTGTGTTCTGCACGGATTGGAGTTAATGCACCTTCTTTTGTGGACTTGCCTAGTGGGGGGCAGGGACAAGAGACCGAGGCTCCCTGAGAGGCACCTCAATGCCCACTGGTTCACAGAGGACCCTCTTCCTTATAACAGGAGGCCCTTGGGGTCCTGAAGTGGAGCCCCTGAGAGCCGGATGCGAAACCCATGAGATTCCCTCTATGCAGGCAGCACCATCACCCACAGGCTCTGGATGAGGCAGCATCTGGGTCTCCCTGGGAAGGTCTCGCTTTTCTTTTCTTACTATTGATTTTATTTACTTGGTGGCGCCGGGTCTTAGCTGCGGCACCGGGATTTTAGCTGAGGCACGCAAACTCATAGTTTCGGCATGTGGGATCTCAGTCCCTGGCCAGGGATCGAACCCGAGCCTCTCACACCGGGAACGCCGAGTGTGAACCACTGGGGCCAGCGGGGACGTCCTTGGTCTTGCTCTTCCGAAAGCTCACGTCTCAAGAGCAGGTGCAGTGGGGTGGACCAAGGCGTACAGGTGCCTTCATTTCCCCAGCACATGGGAATCATTGCAACCGAGGCGGCCGTGGCAGAACGTTGCAGAAGGGAGTGCTCGGCCGGCTGGCCGGAGGGGTGTCCGTGGGGGCGCCCCACCTCCAGGCACACAAGCTCAGTGCCTACGACACACAGCCTCCTGTTGGCTCCGCCTGCCTTGGAAGGCGTCTCCAGGAGGCAGGAGGACTTGTCTCCAGCAGACAAGCCCGGGAACTAATGCGAACGCTTGTGACATACGCTCTCAAGAAGAAATTCTGGGGGAGTGGGGGAGAAGAAAACGGCTGGACACTCTCCTGCCCTCCTCCGGGGCCCCTGCCTGCACTCTCCTCATTCATTCACGGCGAGGCTGAACCCGGCTCTCAGAGCCATGCAAGTTTTTACGAAAAAGTTTACAGTCAGTCTTTTCAAGTGTTGTCTGTTTTTTTTTTTTTTTTAAGGAAAAAGAAAGAAAGAAACAACCCAGAAAACCCACATCTCTCCCTGTCTTCCTTATTCTGACACCATTTTCCTTCAGAAGATCTCAAACTACAAGCGGGTACATGACATCCGCGACGCTCCCCAGCGAACAGACTTTGCGTTTGATT